TCTCCCCCAGAGCAGTGAAATCAATCACCCCCCCAGCCCCTAGTCTCACACACACACACAATGTCCCCCCCACAGACAGTTACAGATAGAATACTGGACTCCTGCAGATGCACACACATGCTCACACGTCTTCTTAAAGACTGAGATTTGCACTGAGCTGCACTTTAGAATGGGACTATATTCTTCTGCTGCTAATATGCTGTTGACCTGATTAGGTCCTACACATCTTCATTTTTATCTGTTCATATTCTTATATTGACTGTACAATTCTTGTGTTATTTATGTAAATAATGTGCCTTTTAAGCCGAGAGCTGCTGGAAGAAATTTTGTTGTGCTATGCATAATGACAATAAAGATTATTCCTCTTCTTACAAGTAAAAGTCCTGCATTCAAAATGTTACTTAAGCAAAAGTATTAGCATCAACTAACAGTACTAAAATTAAAAGAACTCATTGTGCAAAATGGCACATTTAACATTACCGTATATCATATTATTGATTTGTAATTAACTAATGAATTATTGTTTTCATCACTTCAATGATGCAGCTGGTAAACGGGGAGCTAGTTTTAACTAGCCTATATGCTTTTAATTTGATGTACTGATGGGTAGTTTACAAATTTTCCACTGGAGATCAAAAAAGTTTGTGATTATACTATAATTTTCATATTAATCTGGTTCTGAAAAGTAACTAAAGATTGGAAATACATTTAGTGGAATAAAAAGTACAATATTTGCCACTAAAATGTAATGAAGTTGAAGTATGAAGTAGCCTAAAATGAAAATACTCAAGGACAAAATTGTACATAAATACAGTACTTGAGTAAATGTACTTGGTTTCCATCAATGATATTTGATAATAAAAAACTGACGGGGATTATGTTCTGCCTGTACATTTACATTTGGTATTTTAAGTAATTTTGATGAAAACATTTTTGTACTTGTTAGGTTTTGAATGGAGTACTTGTAGAATATTTTTTTGCTACTTCTACGTAAGTAAAGCATCCTCTGGCTAACTAGACAAGGCCTGTAATGCACAGGCTGAGGTTAGCTAATCCTAGTGGAACAGTTAATATACAGAAGAAAAAAACTGACACAGATAAACACAAGCACACACATGAATGAATCCAATAAGATGGCATGCATGAAATGAAAACATGTACCTTTCTGCATAGTGAAGCTTTCTCTTCTTGCCTGTTTCAGTGTTCCAGGATGACTGGGAGTGATACCTCTGAAGGGCATCAGGAACATTTAGTGCCCATGTAGCCTTAAAGAATCAATAATGACATGAAGACCCTGGGCAGGTTAATGGTGTGTGAAAGGACTGTTATGAACAAAATCCAGAATGTTACCTGTAGAAATGGTGCGTACATCACATCGGAGTATTGAAGTCTGACTGCTGCGGCTGATCTGAGAGTGACCCATGATCCTTGTTAAGATGCACATCAAATAAGCACAATCAATCATGGGGACAGCATTCAGCCATTACAGAACAAATGAGATGACCAACATGAACCTTGATTTAACAACATATAAACACATTGCTGACAGTACTGGGTGAGTGTGGATGTATTTTGAAGGCGCTGTCCTGAGTTTAGTAATTATAACTATACATTATAATGAAAAATGGTAAAAACACTCATCATCAGCACCAAGGGGCAATTGCAGTCTGCTTCTGGTTTCTAACCAGCTATGGCTTGGTGTCTGGCAGGGGCATCCTTGAATGATGGGACATGCAACCCCTTGAAGGTGAAATTTATTGGTATAGATTTTGTGCTGCTGCTGTTGTGTTGAATCAGTAGGACCAAGCAGGCAGGCAGAGGGAAATGGGGCTGTTCTGCGATTGAATTATATGCAGTCACACACTCAATTTAACCCTGCAAACCTAGTTAGGGAGGGACGAGACAGAGGCATCCACATGCTGTGAGGTGGCACGTACACTGACATGCATAAACACATGCACCCCACAATACTTAACATGATTATGGACATTAAATTAAAACAAAGAATAAATCCAATTTCTCATTGCACAATAAACCAAAATTATAAGAAATTAACTGAAAAAACCCACTAGCTGGAAGAGCAAACAAGAATGTGTTTAAAATTAAATAAAATACGTAAAACATCATCTTCAAATGAATTCAGCCACCACTGATTAAAACATAGGTATTATTTAGCTTGTGTCATTAATTTTGAGTAAGAACAAATACTCTTCATACGTATTAAGCTTCCAATCTACACCAGCCTGTCATCTAATCGATCATGTTACAGCTGGCAGCCCTGCAGACAGACACTGGAGAACTGGGTTGTCAGGCTGTTTTGTTTGATCTGGATGACTGTGTTTAAAACCTCTTAATGCCAGTTCATATCAAATATTCACCTTCATTTCGCTGGCCATAAATCATCAAGGTGTTTCTGGCCCTCCTTACCAACTCTTGTCCTGTGGCGGAGCACACAGCTGTTTCAAATTAGACAACAGATTGTGTTACTTAAACCAGTAACAGTAGCAATGTTGATCAATGCCTAACCTGGCGAGGAATCTGTTGGCATGCTCAGTGGTGGGAAGGTCATCATGGGTGTGCATCTGTAGTACTTAAAGTGTGTGTCTCCCTAACAAAATGACGCTCACTTCAAAACAATGATGCTACTGTATTACTCTCAATATGATACAAATGCCAAAAAATTTGAAGTGAAATTTATATAATATAGAAGGAGCTTGTGACTTTTTAACAGCAGTCTTGAGTAAAACTATTACATGCTCACAGTCAGTTTCACTACTTAATGACACTTTGTTGCTTCATCTGACTATTAATGACAGAGATTAGTCCACAGTTCACCGCCACGCTAGCAGCTCTGTGAAGCCACACTGACTCGAAGCACACAGCCGTGCTTCAAGCTGAATAGTAATATCAACGTGCAAACATTCACACAATGATAACATGCCGATGTGCAGCATGTTTGTTGCTTATCATGTTAGCTTACCAATATTTGCTAATTAGCACTAAATGCAAATTACTGCTGAGGCTGATGGGAATATTGTTAGGTTTGCAGGTATTTGGTGGTAAACCATTTGACCTCTAGCAAATGTCATGATAATTCCTCCATTAGTTATTTGGTGTATTTTACTTAAATCCAATTACATCATCCAATTACACCACAGCAGTGTGGCAAAAAAATTTCTGCCAACAAACGGCCATTTTGCATGCGAAAAAAACCCCTGACACACCAGTGTGAGAAAAGAATGTCAACCGACAACTAATACAGACGATAACTAATACAGACAACATCTGTTCGGAGAGATACTGTGGTGTTCGAGAACAAACGTGATTCTATCAGTTAAAAAAAAGGCAAGTTCTATAAACAGACCTCAAAAATGGAGAAACTACAGACAGACAGCTCCCAGAAACAAGTAAAAATAAACTATTTGTTTGTTTAGTGCCAACTTGATGGTGTATTGTGGTATGTTTTATGTTTGGTCTTAATGTGTAATTTCATTTAAGTAATTATATTTGTAAGACAAAGGTGAATTAGTATTTTACTTTACATTCTCAGTCTTTTGGTCTTGACCATATAAAGCGTTTATACACAGTGTTGATCATGATGATCAATTTTAACAAAGTATTTTCTGAAAAGGCAAATGAAGGGAACAGACCCAAACAGCAAACAACACAGTAGAGAAATACAAACCGTCTACTTTTTAACAGCAAAACAAAGCGGTTTAGGTGAAAATGCAGTTTGTTCAGTCTGAGCTCAGGGAAAGCAAAAGTCATGTTTTCACCTAAGCTGCTTTATAGAATAGCCCCTCTTTGAGATTAATAGCAGGTTTTAAAATGGGTCTGAATGTTACTGAGGTGGACTATTAGCTTACAGCACATTTGACTGACAGAGTGTGATTTTGATTTTGAATGTAAACATGCAGAAAATGGAACCTGGCAACACTCCAGTTCAAATCAAAATAGAATGACGTCATCAAATGCATGCCTTTGTTCTGCGTGACGTCATCACTCGGTGTCTGCACCTTACCTAACTGCAGCTTACCAAGCAGTCACACAATCTCAGACCTTCTACAACTGATAAGCCGGTGTAAGGAAAGAACGTTAACCAACAACTAATACAGACATAACTAATACAAATGCAATCTATTCAGGGAGATACTACGGTTTTCACCAACAGCTCTCAAAACGGGAGCGACACCTATCTAGTCCAGCTGATCAACGCCCTGCAGGCGGAGAAAGACGCTCTGCGGGCGGAGAAAGACACCCTTCAGCGTGAGCTAGAGAAAGAAAAACTTGCTCATACAGACAAGGTGGAGCGAGATCTACAGTTGATCAACGCCCTGCAGGCGGACAAAGACACCCTTCAGCGTGAGCTGGAGACTGTAAAGCTCGCTGCTCAAAAGAGGGCGGAGCAAGACCTAAGTGTGTTCAAACCCTTGATAAATGAGAAGAACCGCCTTCAGAGTGAGCTAGAGACTGTAAAACGCACACATGAAGACAGGGTGACTGAACATCTAAAGGAGATCAAAGTCTTCAAGGATGAAATCAGTAGAATAAAAGAAATGCTTGAATTTAAGAAAATGTCCTATCAGAGAGATCTAGAGGACCTAAAAAAACAGCTCAATCGCCTTCTCTCGGACAATCGCCATTATGTAAAGGAGTTAAAGCTACTACGTGAGCACCATAAGCTACTACGTGAGCAGCATGTCAACCTGAAGGCGGAGAAAGACACCCTGACAGCGGAGAAAGACACCCTAACGGCGGAGAAAGACACCCTAACGGCGGAGAAAGACCCTAACTGCGGAGAAAGACACCCTGACGGCGGAGAAAGACACCCTAATGGCGGAGAAAGACACCCTGACGGCGGAGAAAGACATCCTGACGGCAGAGAAAGACACCCTTCGTCAAGAGATGGCAGAAGAGATTACTAGAATGCAGAAAGAAGCTAATAATAAGGTCATGATATATCAGAGAGAGCTGGAGGAGGCGTATTCTGAAGTCACTGACCTCTCCGCTCAGCTCCAGAAGTACCTCCCTACAGAGACAACTAAAAAAAAGTCATTATTTAAAAGATTTCGCCACTTTCTGGGGTTGAGGAAACCACAAAGGTTCAAGAAGTAAACCATAAACAAATGAATCAATTCGGCCAGACGTTTTACTAAATTACATGACAGGGCTGTCAGACATGTAGTGACAGATGTCATGTAATGTAGTAAAGAAAATAAATTAATCAGGGCAGCACAGTGGGGTTATTTGTACCGATTATTCATAACTACCCAGTACATTGCCTATCCAGAAGAGCCTCTCTGACTTGCCCAGCCTGATACCTTACTGCCTCAATGCTTTTTATCCTGCTTTCCCATCTGGTCTCAGCCCATGATTTCAGAGATTTCAGATTTCACATATTTCAAGAGGACATCCCACCTATGGGTGGAGGCTGAGAAGAGCTTGAATAACTTTGTCAAATGCCCAAAGTAGCCAAGGGCATCTGGTGAGCTTTTTGCAGCATCAGCTACTACCAGATTTAAAGTGTGGGCACCACATGGGACATAAAAAGCTTCATATTGGCCACGTTGTCATAGGACTGGCCTCTGCAGTCCTCAAATGGGATATTAAGTTCCTCTAGCCTTTTTAGGATTAGAGATGACAAATGTTAATAGTTAAAATTAGGATAGCCTTAAACAACCACAGCATTAAAGCTCAGAATATACTGTACATTAGATATAGTGATATTAATAGTACAAAAACAATGTTTGACAGTGGTGGAAGAAGTACTCAGATCCCTTACTTAAGTAAAAGTAGCAATACCATTGTGTAAAAACACTCTGTTACTGTGTCATTGGATTAAGGACTTTCTCACTAACAGGCCTCAAGTGGTGAGAATTGGAAGCTGCACATCATCCACACTGGTCCTGAACACAGGAACACCACAGGGCTGTGTGCTCAGCCCAGTTCTCTTCCATCCATCCATTTTCCTCCGCTTATCCGGACCCGGGTTGCGGGGGCAGCAGTCTAAGCAAAGATGCCCAGACTTCCCTCTCTTCAGACACTTCCTCCAGCTCCTCCAGGGAGGCGTTCCCAGGCCAGTTGAGAGACATAGTCCCTCCAGCGTGTCCTGGGTCTTCCCCGGGGCCTCCTCCCGGTGGGACATGCCTGGAACACCTCCCTAAGAAGGCGTCCAGGAGGCATCCGAAACAGATGCCCGAGCCACCTTAGCTGGCTCCTCTTGATGTGGAGGAGCAATTACATTTATGTTAGCACTAGAAAAAAAAGTCAGGTGTACTATGGTGCTGGTGTGGCTAATGTTAGCCATAGCATTATTTTCATAGCCATCATACAAGCTCACATTAACAATGTCTATTGAGTGATGCAGCCATCATCAGTCAATCTAATCATCAGCGGTTAAAACAGAATCACTGAGCACTTGCCAGTTTTTATTTGGATGACTCGTCATGAGCATTTCACGGCTTGATGGCATGAGAGACAAAATGATTTCTCACCCTGTCAGACCGGGGCCTTTGGTCAACCCAAGGTGTCGAGCCTCACTGTCATCCTTTAATTCATCAAGTCTGCAGTTGTAAATATTAATAAACTGCTTAAATGGGCCTGTGCGTCAGATGCCCTGCAGTCCTCTCCTAGAAATTCAGAGATCAAACCATCTAATGAAAGAGTTTACTCGATGAACTGAAGGGTTAAAAAGGACAAACCAAGTTTGCATCTAGAAGACAATCAAAATGTTTGTTCACAACTAGACACTGGACTTTCCTGTAGTGTAATTGCTTCTGTGTTCCATGTCTTTGTTTTATACATTTGTTGGTGTGTGTGTGTGTGTGTGTGTGTGTGTGTGTGTATGGCTGTGAAAGTTGGACCGCATGCTTATCATCTAATATTATAAAATGATTAATATACAAATTAAATAAAATAATTTAAAACTTTTTATTACTGATGACTTACTAGAAATTGGAATCTTGTTTAATTTCT